GTGTGTTGCGTATGATACTGAGTGTTGCGTGTGGGACATCCAGGGTGATCCAGAGTGCGAACAGTGAGTTGTGTGGGCGCCCAGTCGCCATAGCCAGTTGAAGAGAACTCATATCTGGTTACAATATCTTAAGTACTGTCAGGGCGCATGTYGCCAGTTGCTGTATCGCTGTTTGCATGCAAGACAAGTGTGAATAATCGGAGTGTGAATGCACTGGTATCGGAGCAGGTACCCGTTGTTCCATGCGCGCGATGTGTGCAGGGCCKATCGGCCATAGCTGAAGTGCCGCCGGAGGAGGTAGTCCGCCATAGCGGACCTCGAGGTGGAAGGAGAAGCCGCGCACCTGCAACAAGGAGACCACGAGAGAGAGAGATGAGTGATACAAGATTGGTTACTTACCTGCTGCGCTGAAGATACCGCTACGGCGGAAGAGAGAGAGAGAGAGAGAGAGAGTGAGAGAGAGAGAGAGAGAGAGAGAGAGAGAGAGATGAGCGATCCAAGATTGGTTGTCACTTACCCGTGAGCCGAGCCTCGGGGACGATTAGTAGCTTCTCGTGGCCTGGTTCGGGAAAGGTTGTTCCTTATCGGACCAATGGAAGTGAATACCTGGACGACTGGCTCCAACGGCCCTACCGAGATGTGCGGGGTGATTCCCGAGATTAACGGTGGGTACGCGAGCGGCAAGTCGGGATGGGGTATTCTGGGTACAAGGAAAGGGCTAATGCCTTGTCGGAGCCTGGGTACCTCGCTCGCGACGGTTGAGCTGTGCTTGAGGTACGCGATAAAACCCTGCCGATAGTAATAGTGGAGAGACCACTTTCGGGGAAAGGCCGGTGAGGAGATGACCGGTCTGTGTGCGACGTTTGCTTGAGTTTTCCTTTTTGTGCCTTCCTCTGGAAAGTTTGCCTGATATGTGTTGGGATGGGGACTGAGCTTCTTGTCTATTCTCACCCTTGCCTGAGTCTGCACGAGTGAGAGAACATGAGAGTGAGGCTGGATAGGAGTCAGAAGGAAAAGAGAACCAAGAGAAAGGAACGCCGGTTGTTGGGGATCGATGGAGGGAATGGTTGGGTAGCAATCTCTGGGAAATGGGTAGGAAGGGTTAGGGAGACTCGGATGAAGGGGGTCTGAAAACAATCCTCATCTAGGAAAAGGCGACAATTTGATTAAGAGGGGCCATGTGGTGCTCTCTTGTGAAAAACAGGATGGGAGCCAGCAAACAAGATGGCGCGATGGCTGTCACCCCCTGTCTATTCTAGCGGTCCAGAAATACCAATAGACGTAAGGGAAGGGGTATCTGTTGTTCTCCCGGAGGAAGGGACGTGGACGGACGCATTCCTCTGGATAGAGACGATTTGGACTAAGGTCAACCTGACGAGACTTTCACCGAGTTTGATGGACCTAGAGTTCCGGGGGACGGTGGAAGCTCGAGGGCGGGTCTACCTATCCCAGGATCTGGAAAATGAAGTGGTAATAGGGTTGGTATTGGGCATGGCGCCGACACAGCTGTTTAGACAAGCAGAGCGGGAGGTGGTATGGGCAGCATGTCAGCGGGCGGAAATGGAAATGGACAAGATAAATGTGCGAGTAGAACTCAGGGACAGGAAGAATATGAGACGACCCCTTAGAACAATGAGGTGCGTGCTACCCCCGTTTTTTGTGGATGTAGTCTTTGGGACCAGGGGTAGGTTGGAGCAGATATGTCGATCAATGACGCACCTTAGGCTGTACCAGTGCGCTCGAAGAAGAGGAGGCGGGGCCATTCGAAGGGAACTGGGCGGAGGAATTGGTTGAGGTACTAAACCTCCTCATCACGGATAAGATCTTCGTTTCTAGCCCAGTGCATTGGCAGATAATCTATCGGAATGTGGCGGCGGGGGAGACTTTCTTAGAGGGTCTAAAGGAGTTGTTCTCGGAAGAAGAGGAGGATTTCAGTGACAGTGAGGACGAGGATGGGAACGAGATAGAGGACTGGGACTTCTGAGAACGGGGGTGGGGACTTACCCGAGGATGGGTTGTCAACTATGTGCAGGTAGGAGCGATGGCCCGGGAATTTTCGCCATGGAACTGCACGTGGGACCCAAAACGAGCCGGAAGGGGAGTGGAAATGTTTGTACCAATGAGTGATGAATGGAAGGGGGACACATGTGACTGGCGAGGGTATGAGATCATACCGGAACTATCATATTTGTGGATAGAATGTGTCTGGAACCCGTTGAGGGAAGAGGAAGGATGGGATGATATTGCAGAAGGGAAAGTGGAGTCCGTTGGGACGGTCGTCTTGTCAGAGCAAGGATGCACCTATTCTGCACCACGCTTGCGGCAGGGCAGAACCCGATGTGGCTTTTGGGGGATGCCGAGGTAAGGACTCGAAAGGCGGGTGAAAGGTTCGCCAACAAGGGATGGGATGAGGTCAGTAGTAGGGCCGTGATGGGAGGATGGAAGGAATTTAGCGCGCCTTGCGTCTGGACCAAGACACATAGGCGATGCGTGGTTGGCAGAGGAATTCTATAAAACATCTTTGAAATTGGGACCTTTCCATGGCGACAGAGCCCGGGAGGTTCTTATCATTTTGGACATTGAAAGAAATGACCGCCAGAAGGTGGCCCCGGAAACTAGGGAGGCCATAATCCGCTAGGAAGTAGCAGCGACACCGTGCTATGTGGATGACGTGTTCAAACTGTTTGAGGTATTGTGGTTTGACTAAAGGAGCGGTAAAGCCGCGGGGCCAGGCAAGTATGAGAAAACTGCTAAGATAAGGGGATGGGATGTCTGGCCGGTGTAGGTCTCGGTGTGGGCTGCGAGAGAGAAGACCAAGGACAAGAGCGCAGATGGCACGAAGAAGGACGTTCCTGGAGGACCGCCCGCTGGGCATTGAGCCGCCTAGGGATGTGGATGGTAGGATAGAGATCAGCCTGCCCGCCGCAAATGAGGGATGGCACCCGGTGGCAGATTGGGTTGGGGTTGAACTCATGGAAAACTTGGTTTACCTAGTAACGAGGGTTGAATGGCGTGCGGATGAGAACGGAGAGTGGAACCCGGACCCGCGGGGGCATGTGCGGGCGGAAGGACGATTGTATATGTCTGAAGATGGGTGGAGGGAGTTCGGCGTTCAGCTGGCATCAGGAGAAGACCCGTTGAGTATGTTTGAAGGAGCGTGGCAGTTAGTTTGGCAGGTTGGGTTCGAGTTCGCAGACCCAGGAGTCGACGACGTAACAGCGGACCTTAGGGTTACCATGATCGGGAGTTTCGAATTGCCAAGTGAGAACATTCGGATGAGGCTACCACCCTTCCTGGTGGAAAGACTGGGCGGGGTGGAACTTGTTAGAGAGGCAGTAGCCGACTTGCGAGCCTGACATATGAAGATGCGATGGTCCATCAAGAATATTATCGGGCCTCCTTAGAAATGGGGCCATTTAGCGGTGAACAAAGATATGAGGTGCTGCGCATCCTGCACGCTGTGTTTAGTACTAGGCCAAGGGCTCTGGCCGTTATAGTGAGGTCCTGTGGGGCGTCATTCGACGGGAAATAAGTCGAGGGATGGCGTACGTAGACGACCTATACAGGCTATATGAGACGGCGGAAATAGGAACAGGCCGGTGAAAGAGTCAAGGAAAGTGGGGAAGGTGATAGAAAGGGGAAAGGGAGCCCCAAGCAAAGGACCAAGAAATTGCTCAGGTAAGGATCGGGAGATGGATGGAATAAGCCAACTTGCTTGCTGTTGAAACTGTGCAGGGGACCACTAAGTCAGAAATGGCGATGAGACGCGCCCGGACGTTGCGACGGGCCACGCACCCGCGGCCACCCACGGAAAGTGGAAGCAGATGGGAGGTATCGCTCCCAGCAAGCTACAAGATCCAAGGATTGGATACCGAATGGAGGGTCGTGACCCTAGGAAGGGGTCAGGCGTTCATGATGGTGGAATGTTTGTGGGATGGTATGAGGATTAACAGGGGACCAGGAGACGACCTGTACACTGACCTTAGGGTGACGGGGACCGTATACCTGTCGGAACTTAGATGGTACATGCTAGGAACGGAACTGGCACTAGGGCACGGGTTGCTATCAATCTTTCAGAGGGCTACTAGGATGTTGAACAGGGTGGGCCAGGAAGTGCGGGGGAGAAGAAACGTGGGACTAAAACCCGGGTGGAGGTCGGAGGCTGGCGAGAGTTTAAGGCCCCAACGAATGGGTTGAGGTGTCGAGTACCTCGTTTCATGGTGGACCTGGTATTCGGTAGCCTCAAGAGAGCCAGGGACCTGGTGGATTCGAACCTGGTCTGGATCCACCACTTCCGACCACAAACAACGGGAATGTTCTATTATGTGTCGGTCAAGCATGGGCCGTTCTGCGGAAACCAGGCCTGGGAGTTGCTTGACCTTATTGAAATCCTGATATTCGAATTGCCCCACTTAGCATTTGAGGAATATGAGCCAATAATCGTCAGGGAAATAGAGATGGGAGAAAACTATCTTGCGGGGGTGGCTGACCTGTTCGAGGAACTGGACGAGTAAGGCAGGCCAGAGGGACCAGCATGAGAAAATACGTCAGGGGAAGATAGGGAAATAAAGGACGGGTACTAAGATAAGTAGGCGACCGTCAGCAAAAAGGGGGGGCAGTGGTTGGAGTTCCGACCGACCTGGCAATGCAGCAGGAAGGAGGAACCGGGAAAACCACCCGCACCGGGAACACATGGGCACTTAGATGTCGGAAAGCTAAAAGACAAGGGAGCCATTGGGCTCAGACATCGCCCTAAGAGCCAAAGCGCGACTGTAATAAAATGCCAAACAGCGGTGGCGAGTTCCCCGGAGGAAGAAGATCTGGAGGACGTCCTGGGAAGTAAAAGTTAGGAGAAGCCATACCGATTAATGAAAAGACGCAAAAAGCATGGGAATAAGCGGATTTTAGGACCGGAATCAGGGCAGTTATGAACAACCGGCCATTTTCGTAAAAAAAAATTTCCATGTGCAGGCTAGGTAAAGGGAATGGCAACAGAAGAAGAGATCAATGACCAGCAGAGCAGGGGGAGCCAGGGTACAAATGGGGGCGAGGAACGAAACGAGGGATCAGTGAAGGATCGGGAGTCAGCCAAGCTGGAAGGAACCCGAGAAGATAGGAAGGACCATTCAACAGGAGAAAGCTCCGGGAAAGCTGGGGGTAGCAAAAGGGGACCTCAAGAAAACAGGGAAGGGGGAAACGATGCGAAAACAAGCCCTCGGAACTCGGCGGGAACCACCCCCAAAAAGACAAAAGTCTTGGATACCCGTCGTAAACTCGCAGAGATAGAAAAGCGGACTGCAGAATTTAAGGCAAGGCTCATTGAGCTGATGATGGTCGGGGATGAGGAGGATCCACAGGGCACAGGATCACGTGAGGAACGCGGGACCGGTCAGGGCGAAGCCAGGCATGAAGGAAAATATAATATTCACAAGGGAACGCCTAGCAAGAAAGGGAAGAACAAGGACGATCCCCCGACAGAAGGAACAAAAAATGCTATGACCCCGCCTGCCATCGACAGCACCACACCGAAAGTAACAGGGGCATGTGATGGACTCTGGAGTCTTAGGGAAAGGGTGCTAGGATGGTTCGACCCAGAAGGAACGCCGAAAACCGGGGAGAAGCAGAGGGAAAGCAAGGAAGGGGAAGGGACCAGCGCAGCAGGGGAAGGTGGCCTCAAGAGGATAGTCACCACCCTCACCCGGGCACTAAATAAAAACCAGGGGTATCTCGCAGACGCAAAGAAGAAACTCACGTTCGACGAGGCAAACATTACGGAGTTTCTGATAGATTATGAGAACCTGGCAGCCCTACTGAAATGGACGGAAGAGGAAAAGATGGATCACCTAGGGAAGCACGTGTCGCTGAGCTTAGGGAGGGATATTATGGCCATTGTCGCGACTAGTGGATCTTGGAAAGAGACACGGAATGAGATGATGAGAAAGTACCTGAAGGTAGATAAAATGGCAACAGAAGCTGAACTAGCAGCAGTCCAGAGGAAAAACTATGCGACTTACAACGATTTCCTGAGGGCATTTACGCTAGTGGCTCTGCGAATCCCCGGGGTAACGGACCGTATAATGAGCAAGTACTTCCTCAGGCAGCTTTCCGAGTTTGATAAAGATAAGATTCTGTCAGCATATCAGTTGACCAGCAAGTTCGAATACACGAGGGATGTGGATTTCAGCACTGTAACAGACCTTGCGGAAAAGACAGTAGTGACCGAAACGCTAGCCATGCTTAAGGAAAGGGAAGTCATAGACCTGACGGTGAGAACAGGAGATAAGGTCAAGAAGGGCATAAAAAGCTTGCACGAGAAGGTACATGGGGTCGACAATAAGATAGAAAGAGTGGAAAATGCACTATTAGTGATGCAGGCGCAGGTGTTTAGACCCGCCCTCCCGCCCCAAGAGCCGTGGTCCCGGCAGCCGTAGCAAATCGGGGCTTCCCCAGGAGGGACCCGGCCAACGAACAGTGCAAGTATTGCACAATCGTCGGGCATTTCGTATGGACCTGCCCGAGACTCAACCACGACATTATGCGGCAAAGGTGCAGTAGGTCCCTCAAGGGCGAAATTCTCGGACCTCAGGGAGAGCGCATAAATTGGAACTCGCCAGGAGGGATGCGGCGTGTCGTCAACCTCCTGAACAACTTGGATATAGCCGCCGTAGAAGCAGAGCCGGTAGCCGATATTGTCTGGGACCAACTAAGGGGGCGTGGGCCTCAGGTCAACTTCATTTTAGAGGGCAATGGGCAGGACAAGGTAAATATCACTACCCGACGGGCCAGTGCGGAAAAGAAGCTCATCCGAGAAACGGTAATGGAAGAAGTTTCGGGCATTAGCACACAACAGGTAGAAGCCGAGTCCGGGGAGCAGGAGAAAGCCTACGGAAAGGTAAGGGAAGAAGAGCCAGTAGATAAGGTCACGACAGCAAAGAAGAAGTTTAGATACCAGATCACGATTCTGGCGGGAGCGGAAGTCGACAGTTCCTTGAGCGAGTTCCTAGGCACCATGGTGTCGGTGTCCTTCCAAACCATGTTGCAGGCAAGCCCGAGACTGCTTAAGGGTCTCAGGCACTTGTTGACGCGCAAACGCATAGAAGTAGACGAGACTCTGGAACCCCAGGAACAGGAACCCGAGGAGGCCGAGGCGTTGCAAGGGGTCTCTAACCTCCAAAGCGTTCCTGAAGGTCTGAGCATGCCGGACCGAGAAGGGGGTGAAGTCATGAGAGCACCGCCTGGCACTAAACTTAGCTTCCATGCGCCGCCTGTAGGAAAACTTAAAGTCCAGATCAGAACTCATCACACTGACGCACTAGTGGACGGCGGAGCAGAAATCACCCTCATACGACGGGACTTCGCAACTATCACAGGATGCACGGTAAACAAGGAAGTAGCAAGAAGTATCAGGGGAGCCGGAGGAGAAATTCCCTTCACAGGGTATGTCACCAAACGTGCGGTTAGGGCAGGAATCCGGGAATCCATCTGGTCTTTTCAACGGATGACCGGCATGGAAGAAATGGACCATGACATAATCCTTGGGAGACCATGGTGCGCCAATGTGGAGATGATTGGCATGCACCTGCATGACGGCACGTATATGGTAGATATAGAGGATCCAGTGACTGGCCGTGGAGAGCTCCTCCGACTCCTCGGAACTGGAGGGGACCCTCCCAAGGGTAAGCTGGCAACCTGGTCACCGACGTTTGAAGAAAGCGCACGAAAAGGCGCATTCGCACGGATGAAAGGCATAAGGGAAAGGGTAGAAATCATGATTGAGGAGGCCTTTAGCAAGAAAGAGTGGATAAAAATGGGCCTGCCCCTGAAGAAAAGAAGACAAGAAGACGAGGCCCTAGGGGTTATGGTCGTAGAAAAAGAGTCCGAAGTTGAACTTGGGGCCAGCCTGCCCAAACCAAAGGAGGCACGGAAGGAAACGACCGAAGTGGTCCTGGAAATCCCAGACTTGCTGCAACTTGCCAAGGCTATTAGGTATCATAAGGTTGAGGTAGACCTGGCGGCGCTGGCAAAATTTGAAGAAGAAGTTGAGAAGGGCTATTGCCTGAACGGAAAAGTTGTTAGTCTCCAGCCACGTGTCATGGAGGTGACAAGGCCGGTTCCGACCGTTCATTTTTTAGAAGAACAATCCCAGAAGGAAGTGTACGAAAGTACAAACCCATAGGCAAGAAGGCCAAGCCGGTCTCGATCTTGGTAGAAACATCAAAGGAAGAGGCCATGGAAAAGGAAGAGGAGATCCTGCGCGTTATAACGGAGAGGCGAGCAATGGAAGGGCATCAGATACCTGATGAGGTAGCAGATACTAAAAAAATAGGAGTGGAAGGGTTCCTGACAGCGGAAGAAACTCAGTTAAAAAGAAGGATGTGCAAGGAGTTTCATTTAGCCTTCGCTTTCAATGACCACCAGAAAGGGCGATTGGATGCAAAGCTAGTTCCTCTGGTTAGGATCCACACGGTAGAGCACGAATGCTGGAGTGATAAAGGGCCTGCCTACGAGTTTGGGATAGCGGCAGAGGTCACCGACTTGCTTAGAGCCAAGATAGATTCGTTCGTGGCCGAGCCCACCGCATCCCCCTATGCGAACAAGTGGTTCGTTTTCTGGAAGCCCAACAAGACACTCAGGTGGATTCAGGACTTGCAGAAGCTCAATGCGGTAACAATCAGGGATGCAGACTCGCTCCCCACAGGCGGACTTGCTTGCCGAATCCCACGCTGGCCGAAGCATTTACTCCCTGATAGATTTGTACTCAGGATATGACCAATTGCCGCTCGATGCGAGGGACAGACCTTATACCGCAATGCACACCCCTGTAAGACAGTTGCAGATGCAGGTGACCCCTATGGGCTTCACAAATGCGGTAGCAGAAGCGCAGAGGAGAATGCTTGCCATCGCAGGGGACATGTTTCCAGAAAAGTGCGAACCCTATACAGATGATAACCCCGTAAAAGGTGCACGGTACAAAGACGAGGCAGAGGTCCAATTGGGCGTACGGAAGTTCGTTTGGGATCATTTGCAGTATATCAAGGACTTACTCCAGCGATTCCTAGTTTAAAATATTACCACGAGTGGACCGAAGAGCATCCTGGCCGTCCCGAAAGTAACCATATTGGGATTTCGATGTGGGGCCTACGGAAGGAGACCCGATCCAGCAAAAACGGACAAGATCTCCCAATGGCCAACACCCCTGCGCACCACGACGGAAGTAAGAGCCTTCCTAGGGGTGGTTGGGTTTTGGAGGATCTTCATCAAAGGGTTTGCAAAGATAGCCGAGCCTATACGTGCAATGATCAGGGAAGGGGGCACTATGGAATGGACCGAGGACAGGGAGGCGGCAGCCCAGATCCTCAAAGACATTCTTTCTTCTGATCAGGTTACCTTAGCAGCACCGTGCTTCAATGACGAAGTAGGACGACCCTTCATCCTAGAAACAGACGGGGGACCTTTGACAGTAGGAGGGGTGTTGATACAAAAAAGCGAGAAAGGCAAGGAAAGACCAATCAGGTTTGAAAGTAGGACCTTGAACTCGGCCGAACGGCAGTACTCACAGTTTAAGAAAGAAGTCTTAGCAATCCTACATTGTCTTAAGACCTTTCAGGCATACCTGTTCGGGAGGCGGTTTATCTTAAGGATCGATCCCACCAACGTCGTCGGGGCTCTAAAGAAGTACAAGCCCATAGATCCGACTGTTGGCAGATGGATAGGTTTCATATGGCAATTCGACTACAAGGTCGAGCGAATTGTCGGGCTTCGAAACAGGGCAAATGGGATGAGTAGGGTATGTATCACACCAGAGGGAATGGAGGACGCATAGCCGATCGACGCCTTCCTCGAATATGAAGGAGGAACCTTGGTTGTGGATAGTGAGATGACAGACTCCGCGCTCACAATAGGCCAACTGTTGATTCAGACCTTGGAAAAGGATGCACCTGCGGTAGTTGCGGAACTCAGGGAAGGACCAGTCTCCACGGTCAGGCGCAAAGAGGAAAACGACTCGTGCGGAGCAGAAGTAGGACCCAGGGAGGAACTGATGGCTATGGCCGTGGAAGGGGGAAGGGACGCGGTGATGACCTTAGCGGAAACCTGGGCACGAAAGGAGTCCCAGTACCTAGTTAACCAGACCCGGGAGGAGCCAGAAACGGATCAGAAGGAATGAGAATTTTTCCTCATATAGATGTATGAAGGCATCTTTAGAGAAATCGGTCTGCTGCTCATAGGAAACAAACGGTCCAGAGAAGTCAGCCCCAAGGCAAGGGAGGAAGCCGAGAAGTACGTTGTAAGAAATGGTCACCTGTTCAAGCGGGAAGAAGGGATGATGCCCAGGTGTGTCGTTTGCGGAAGGTCTAGGTAGTTGGACATAATCCAGGCAATGCATAATGGGTTAGCTGGAGGTCACCGGTCGTCAAAGGGGACACTCGCAAAGATCGCACCCCTATACTTCTGGCCAGGGATGGCAGGCATGGTCGCAACATATTGTGAAACATGTCTCATATGTCAAGAGAGGAGTTCCGCGCGGGTGTTCGAGCCCCTTAGACCTACTCGGGTATTGGGGCCAGGGCACCTTGTCCACCTCGATCTCGCGGTCATGCCCGTATTGACGGATGGATATAGGTACATCCTGGATGCAAGGGATAATCTCAGTGGCTACGTAGAGGCCGTAGCTCTCAAAAGGAAGACAGGGAAAGGAGTGGCCGATTGGGTAGAAGATTTCTACCTAAGACACCCCTTTGTGCGCCGGTTCATAACAGACAATGGGACAGAGTTTGTCAACCAGGAAGTGCTGAGCAGGCTTAAGGCCTTGCACGTACCTATCAAGATCACGGAACCTTACCATCCGGAGGCAAATGCACCAGTAGAAAGGGGTCACGGGACACTGAAGAACACAATCGCAAAGTTGGCAGCAGATGACTTGGGAAATTGGTCGCGATATCTTAGGCAAGCAGTCTTTTCTGAGAACGTGACACCAAAGAGAACGACGGGGTGTATTCCGGCAGAACTCTGGTATGGAAGGGAGATTGATTTTTCGGTAGAAGCCCTCGTCCCCACTTGGAACAGGCTAGATGACCACCCGTACTTGACTACAGAAGAGTTAATCACCGCACGTTGCCAGCAGGTCGCCAGAAATGAGGAGGCACTGGAAGAAGTAGTTAACTGTGTGATGGACACTCGAATGAGGGACAAAGCAAGATGGGACCAGGTGAAGAACATTCGAAAGGAACCACTCCAGGTGGGTGAAAAGGTGCTAGTTAGGAACTCGGCACTGGAAAGCACATGGTCTGGGCAGCTGGGAAGGAGATTCAAAGGGCCTTACAGGATCGCAAAAGCGGGTGGGATTGAACACGTTTGAACTTGAGGATCTTGATGGTACTAGCATAAGGGGACCATTCCCGGGACAAAGGCTGGTCAGATTCTTGAGCAGGGATCCTGTGGAACAATGGTTACAAGAGGCTCAGGATGGGGAAACAGGGGAATTGGCAGCATGAAAGGCAGACAACTGGCTATGACTCTGGACCATTCTGCTGAGGAAATGATCATTGCCATACGGGTTGCTCGTGTTGCGTGTCTTATTCTCTGAGGGAATATGGGGTGACTGCCTGGGCTGAGTGTGAGGGCGGAAGCCTGGGACAATGTACCATAATCCGGGAAAAGGGCAATTTTGGGGAACGCTTGCAAGAGGTGCCTATGAAGGGAACAACGTGCCTAAGGGATTATGGGACCGCCAACTACGTGGGGGCAAGTAAGGCTGCTGGGAAACCCTACAAATCTGCAAATGGGAATGGGAGGGAGTGTATGTGTATGAGGAGTGCGGTCACTGTTGTGCATGAACAGGATCAGGCAAGGATAAAAACTACAAGAAAACAGCAAGCTGGACTTTGGAAACGAGAATGACAGCAACGCAATTAACAGGCCGGAGGAGGGACAGTCGTCGAGACAAGCTGGAGAGTCTAGCTCTAGGAAGAGGAAACTGTATGTGGTGTTCGATCACAATCTGGTGGTGAACAGAGGGGGCAGGAAACAAGGGACCAGAGGGCCGTCACCACTAAAGGAAGGGGAGCCAATAGAGTTGCCTTCAGACAGTGATCCTAGTAGTGAGGAAGAAGGGAACCTGGGAAAAAGGCAATGGCTGGAGGAGGAGAACCCAGAGGAGGGACAACGGGCGGGAGAGAATGAGCCCATTGAGTTCATTGACCCTACCAGCGACGAGGAAGGAGATGAGGTAACAACGCCCACTAGGGAGGAACGGGGAAGAGAGGAGGAACTGGGTCAAGAAAAGGACAAATGGATAGAAAAGTTCGGGCCTACCTTCAGCGACTGGTTCGATCAATGGGGCACTATCTTGCGGTTTCAATGGATAACAAAGGCAAGGGCAAAACTGGGCAGGGGAGAGGATATATCCCCAACAACCTTCTTCTCGGAGCAGACGCTCCTTCAGTTACAAGAAATAAAGCGGCAAATGCAGCAGGAAATGGAGGGCCGCGCAAGGAGGGAGGCTCGACGCAGGCCGCCTGGACAATAGAGGAATAGCAGGCGCAATGGGGGATAGCTAGAAATGATGCCTGGGCAGTCGGAACTGCCATTTTGGACTTCGCATTTGAACTCTTCTTTTGAATGAACTCTCTAAGCTCGAGGCGACTAAGGACTGGATGGGCAGTGCTGCTTTGAATGAGTGGTTGCTTCTTCAGGAGAAAGCATGAGGGTTTTTGCACTTAGAGTAGAACCCTGGATGGCTGGGTAGATTAAGGGAAAGAAAAAGGGGAAACAGAGGGAGCTAGGTGAGACAAGTCTGTGATGATTGTCCTTGCGTCCGAATTTTGTCTCTTTGTGCTTTTTGGAAGGACTGTGGCATAACTACCTTTGGACCAAGGATGCTAGTAAGGGGTTGGGAGACCTGTGCCACTTTGTATGAGTACTCGCTTCTTTGGGAAGATGTGAACTTTTGGTAGTAAGAAAAAGGATCAGGGATGATTGACTCTGAGAGTGGGCAAGAGCATGAGATCTATCGGGTTTGAGAAAAACAGTTGATGGTGAAAGCTCTCCTTTTTTTAACCATGTATCCATGAGTGAGTGAGTCGTTGCATGAAGTCCTTGTGAGAGGTTAGGGGACCTATGGGTAAAGAGATATCCTCTTTCCTAGGAGCCTAATCCAACCTACCCCAGACAAGTCCAGGGTATCGAGTAGCATATGGGAAGCCTGAAAAAGTGGCAAGGAAACATCGAAATGATCCAGCACTCCTTGTAATGGTTGAACGGTCGGGCGGGCTAGTGCTACTTGGGGACGCGAGCCTCAACTCGAGCATTAGACGCTAAGTCGGATGTATGGATGGACATAAGAACAGCAAATGACAAAAGAAAGAGGAAGAGTCATGCGTAAAAACCCGAAAGGATGGCCACCTTCTAACCCCTAAGACGAGAATAGGATCCGTGTCCTTGAGGCCCACCCCCTCGGACGCTAACATTGCAATGGATAAGGATGACCCTAACCAGGTTATTCAGTTGGAATGGATAAGGATGGCCCTAACCAGGCTGTCCGCTTGGAATAGACAAGGATGGCCCTAACCAGGCTGTCCCATTGCAATGGATGAGAATGGCCCTAACCAGGCCGTTCGACCTAGAATTGGAAAGAACGACCCTAATCAGGTTGTTCGGAATGGCCCCTGACAAGGTTCATTCTCTGGAATTGGCACTGGGGTCCCCTTGCATGGCTGCTTGAGACGCATGGGATATTGGAAAAGAGTTGAGCCTTGAATAAGATATTGGAAAGAGTGAGCCTTGAGAAAGAGACTCGATGTGGGACTCAACCTTGAAATTGGACTCAGCCTTGGAAGAGACATTGCATTGAGCATTGGAATTGGATTGAGCATTCGAATTGGATTGAGCATTGGAATTGGATTGAGTATTGAAAATTGCATTGCATAAACAGGGGACCCTAAGCAACTCGAAATGGACTTGGAAAGAGCATTGAAATGGAATTTCCCCTTTCTTCTGGTCTTTAGCCTCAGCAAGAGGTGGATACCGGTGCATGCACCGTGACCCCAAGACCTCTATTCCTCTGAAGGAAAAAGTTTCAGCGCGACCTGTCCCTCTTCAAGAGGGTGAGGGTCAAAGGATTAAGGCACCTACCACTTGGATCGGTGCGGGACATCCGGAACCACCTCCGACAATGAGCTCTAGTCGGGGAGCTCAAACTGCGCCTCCTGTTGAACGCCTAAACGTCAAAGGGCGAGAGAGCCAAATGGGCGAGAGAGCCATTCTCATCTAGTCTAAATTGCTACTCTCCAGCTACATGCCATGTCATAGAGGGGTGTCATGGCTGTTTGGATCGGACCTCGGCTGCCCACGCTAAGTTGGGTGGCACTGTCCAAGGGGAGGGGCTTGGCGGAGTACAGGGTGGAGTCCGTGGCCACCACGGCGCACTGGCACTGCCCTGCCGAAACATTACAACCGTTTCGGGACTAATTGCGAGGTCTTCATAACTGCACTCGCGGACTGATTGAGAGCCCCAACTCTCTTGAAAGGAAGAGGCCGGAATCTGGAAAACCACCACTCGGGAGGAACGATTCGCGAGGAACGCTCTTACGGCTAGACGAGGCCCTGGAAGGTTTGGATTGGACCTGCCTAACAGACGTGAGGAGAAACCTTGGTATCGGTGCTCGCCACGTAAGAGAAGAAAGTTCGGACCGGGTAGAAGGATGAGGCGTCGTCCGCCGGGGAAGGACTGATCACCCTTTCTTTTGTGAGGCGGACGGGCTTGTGTCCTTGACTTGCGGTCGGAGGGCCAAAGGTCTGCGTACCTCCGGGTGAGAACCAGTCGCGCGATGGGGACATCGCGTTTTGAGTGGGGGGAAGGCGTGCCATCTACCAATAAATACGCATGGAAAAATACCGGTATTTGGTTTTGCATGGGCCTGAGAAAAGGGGGCCTGGCAGGGTGCCCAGAGCAGAAAAGTCTTGAGCAAGCAATTGGTATGAGCCTAAGAGATGAGCCTGGCAGGATGATTGGGAAGGAAAAGATTGGCATGATTGACTTTGTATGGACCAAGCAGGATGGGAAGTGGACAAGTAATTGGTATTGCATGGACTTGAGGAGAAAGCTTGATAAGGGGCCTAAGAAGAGAAAGGCATGAGGAATGAGCCAATTGGCACACGTGGGAAGCTAACCAAGTAAAGAAGCAAGAAAGGAAAAGGGGGTGAGATGCATGCGGAATTGGCAGGACCTGAGAAAAGCCGGAGAAAGCAACCCGGGAAAAAGCATGTGGATCTGGTTATGACTAAGTTTTGGGGAGAGGAAAATTTGTACTGAAAATGTGCAGAAGTCATAAGAATGATGAATGGGACAAAACCAGGATGGTGTCTGCTCGAGAATGTTTTCTCAATGAAAAGGGAAGATAGACCTGAGATTACGAATGCAGCCTTCAAGACATTGTCGAGAGCGAGAAATAACGTACAATGAAAGACTAGCTGCAAGACATGTCTACTGTCGGACCTCTCCAAAGGATGATGCTACCTCGGTCCCTGGGAGGGTGATGGGCGTGTCGTTCTTTCTTTTGTGGAACGATACTGAAGGTTGTGGGGAGGCTCTTGAGTATTTGGGAGTTCCAGTAAGAAAGAGATACAGCTGTGACACGGACGTTGATGCACAGAGAGTGTTACGCGCTCCATACAAAGGCATTATTGAGCTTGGGGACGTTACACAATCCAAAGGAAACCCGAAAACAGAACCCTGACCTCCCCATTACCCCCTCCGCCCCAAGGGGCAAAAACTAAAGAAAAACCCCAAGGAAGGAATGGGAAAAGGACACAAAGTACCCTGGCAAGCTAACTACCCATCTCA